GTATGTTGAGTCTTTATTTTCATTGAATTCAAGAAAGACTTTAATTTCTTTCTTTCTTTCTTTTTTTCTTTCTTTCTTTCTTGCTTTCTTTCTTTCTTTCTTTCTTTCTTTCTTTCTTTCTTTCTTCCTTGATCCAGGTGTGGTTCAGTAGTTGACTGTCCAGTTTCCTTGAGTTTGTAGGCTTCCTGGGGGTAGCATTGTTGTTGAATTCTAACTTTAATCCATGGTGATCCGATAAGACACAGGTGGTTACTAATTTTTTTTTTTTGTAACTGTGTAAGTTTGCTTTGTTACCGAGTATGTGGTCAATTTTCGAGAAGGTTCCATGAGCTGCAGAGAAGAAGGTATAGTCTTTCCTATTGGGTGGAATGATATATAGACCACCTGTGTCTTATTGGACAATTCATCAGGACAAGTCTCAATCCTGAATACCTATACCCCTAATATAAAATCACCCACTTTTGTAAAGAAACAATACTATAACTCAAGACAGTCATCAAACCCTATCCCATAGCAATACTGACGAATATCTTGCATATCACCATAGAACCTTCATCTTGTGATGGATGGAGATAGAGACAGTGACCCACACTGGAGCACTGGACTTAGCTCAAAAGGTCCCAATGTGGAGCAGAAGGAGGGAGAACATGAGCAAAGAGGTCGGGACCACAAGGGGTGCACCCACCCACTGAGACAGTGGAGCTGATCTATTGGGAGCTCACCAAGGCCAGCTGGACTGTGACTGAAAAAGCATGGGATAAAACCGGACTCTCTGAACATGGCAAACAATGAGGGCTGATGAGAAGCCAAGGACAATGGCAAGGGGTTTTGATCCTACTTCATGTGTTGGCTTTGTGGGAGCCTAGCCAGTTTGGGTGTTCACCTTCCTAGATATGGACGGAGGTTGGAGGACCTTGGACTTACCACAGGGTAGGAAACCCTGACTGCTCTTTGTACTGGAGTGGGAGGGGGAGATGAGTAGCGGGAGGGGGAGAAGGGTGGGAGGAGGGGGAGAAGGGCAGCAGAAGTAGGAGGGTAATCAGAGGCTGGGAGGAGTTGAAAATTTGTTTTTTTTTTCTTTTTCTCAAAAAAAAATATCCAAAAAAAATACCTCTGTAGCAATGATTTGACACATGGCTAATTTCCCTTTGATCTGCAAACTTAAACAGAAGTGATTAATGACACCATACAGTGAACCTCAACAGTTAATCGAACAAATATTGCTCTGTTGTTTTATGAAAAAAAGTTGGAAATATTTATATTTTTAGAAAGACAGATGCAGTTTAAAATTAATTAGTTGTCCAGTTAGCACACCGTATCTGGCCTATTTGCCTGTACCCTTGGAGTTGCATAACCTTGTCCTTAAAAATGAATTAATTTTGAAAGTCTGTATTTATTTATTTATTTTTTGACAGAGACACTGTCATCCTTAATGCCAAAAATGCCCAAAAATGTTCCCTTTACCATGTTCAGGGGCAGCTTATAGAAGGATAGCCATGCCTCAGCCAAACACACCAGAAACCATTCCCCTGCCATCAGGAACTCCTGAAGGTCTCATGCTCAGAGCAGCTGTAGACACTCAGATCAGGGGAAAACAAGTTGTTTGCAAAAAAATCAGGATCTGGGGGTTCACAGCTCCCAATACTGTACTTTGCTCATTCTGGTGGCTAAAACTTGGCTCCAAGATAATGCCTTGGTGAAAAGTCTGTATTTAAAACCTGGCATTGATGCCATCATCTGGTAGATGCAGCCTATCCAAGCAAAAATTTCATGTGTAGAGGTGTTACATATGAGCCTCTAATTTATAGTTTAGAAAGTACTTTTGTTTTTTATACTATATTTCACTCTATCTTTGTAAAACAAAGCTTATTATTACCATGTGAACATAGGAACGGAATAGAAGGAAAATCACAACCCAAGGAGTCCAACAATGCACACAATGAATCAGACATATAATGACCCTTCAAAGGCACAGCTCGAAGAAGGGAAACACACAAACTCTACTACCAAAAAAGAAAAAAAGAAAAAAGAAAAAAGAAAAAATGACTAAAGTTAACAACCACTGGTCATTAATATCACTTAATATCAATGGAATCAACTCACCTGAAAAGAGGCACAGGCTAAGAGATTGGATACAAAAACAGGATGCAACATTCTGTTGTTTACAAGAAACACACCTCACCCACAAAGACAGACATTTACTCAGAGTAAAGGGCTGGGAAAAGGTTTATCAAGCAAATGGACCTAAGAACCAAGCAGGGGTGGCCATACTAATTTCTAACAAAGTTGACGTCAAACTAAAATCAATCAGAAGTGATGGAGAGGGACATTTTTTACCCATAACAGGAACAATTCATCAGAAAAAAGTCTCAATCCTGAATATCTATGCCCCTAATATAAAAGCACCCACTTATGTAAAAGAAACAATACTAAAAATTAAGACAGTCATCAAAACACACCCACACAAATAATAGGAGATGTCAACACTCCTCTCTCACCAATGGACAGTTCAAGCAGACAGAAACCTAACAGAGAAATAAGAGGATTAAGGGGGGTAATGAATCAAAAGGACTTAACAGATCAATACATCATTCCACCCCCAAAAAAAAAAAAAAAAAAAAAGATACCTTCTCTGCAACTCATGGAACCTTCTCGAAAATTGACCACATACTTGGTAACAAAGCAAACTTACACAGTTACAAAAAAAAAAAATTAGTAACCACCTGTGTCTTATTGGATCACCATGGATTAAAGTTAGAATTCAACAACAATGCTACCCCCAGGAAGCCTACAAACTCAAGGAAACTGGACAGTCAACTACTGAACCACACCTGGATCAAGGAAGAAAGAAAGAAAGAAAGGAAGCAAGAAAGAAAGAAAGAAAAAAAGAAAGAAAGAAAGAAATTAAAGTCTTTCTTGAATTCAATGAAAATAAAGACTCAACATACTCAAACCTATGGGACACTATGAAAGCATATGTTTTCTTGGTAGCAGCAATTTCTTGGGTCTGCTCTGCTTGCTAGAGGCAAGCAAGCGCTCTCATCTAAGAGAGGCTTTCTGACTCAGCTTTAGGTGAAAACTCCTGTAGCTCTTAAAAGGTCCTGCCATGAAACACTTAAATGGTGTTGATAAAAGCCCACTGAATGTTTGTTTGTTTTTAACCGTAGCAGGAAAACCGTTGTGCTGTTTTAAAATGCCAGCTCTGTGGGCCATCCTGCCAGGGCAAACCCTGACTCTTTGAGGCAGGTGGTCAGCTACAGAGAGAGCTTTTGAGTGTTGTAGCTTATTTGCTGGCAAGGATCTTGAAACACTGTAGACTTGTGGTACTGAATGCGGCTCTGACCTGTACATCAGCCACAAGGTTGGAATGGCAGAAAGCTAAGGAATGGGCTGGATCCAGCCACCAAAGCCACGGCATTAATCCTACCCATATTGCTCATGTGGTCAGAAAAAGAGAGAGAGATACAGTAAAGAGAGATTCAAAAAAAAAAAACTTCTAAATGATTTACAGTGTGTTAAAAATATATGCAGACTAAAAGTTAAAGTTCTTAAAGTAAGAAAAAAAAAGGAAGAGAGTAGTTGGGTGTGGTAGTACACACCTTAAATGCCAACACTTGGGAGGCAGAGGGAGATTGACCTCTGTGACCTCAAGGTGTGGCAGAACACGCCTTTAATCCGAATGCCTGGGAGACAGGCAGAATCAGGAGGATCTCTGAGAGTTCAAGGACAGCCTGGTCTGTGAACCTTCAGAAAATTGCTTCACTCAACTGCCAACTAAGATGAAACTAGCCCACAGGTTATACCATGAAAGACCTAATTAATGACGCCCCCATTCAGTAGGAAGCAGTTTGGAGAGAAAAAACTGTGCCCATGTTCTCAAATATTGTTTTTAAATGTTCTTTTACATTTAAAGGGGGATATGATATAGGTATGAATAATTTACATTGATATGAATTTTGCTTTAGTGATTTAAATTTAAGGTCAGTTTTGTTATATGTATATGTGTTTCTGATCTTGATTAAGGTATTATGATTGTGTAGTTCATTTAAAAATGTAATGTATATAGGTTGCTAATGGATAATCATTAATAGTAGTCAAGATTATAGTCATGTTAGTTAGAGTTTCTAGATATATAGATATATATTTCAGTTAGATCGGCATTCTTCATATCTTTCAAAGACTACGGAATATGCTATTTACTGTTTTAATAACTTAGGGTTTTTCATGACAATGAGACACGTCTGCTCCTGGCAGCACCAATCTACTTCAAGAAGAAGATGGGCATGGAAGAGGTACCTTACGGAGTTTGATAGCCATTTGGGCAAGAAACTGCTCTTGCCTGGACTGATGCATAAACTGGACACAGAGAACCCACCGAGAGAGGACTACTGAATTTGCCTAAGGTGAGATGATCTTTCGGGATTCCTGATTCATGAAGGAGTCTGCAAGACATTCTGCAGGACACAACAGATAGTGACTGAACTGACTTTGAAATTTCCTGCTTCATGGAAATGTCTCTGGATACTATGGGCCTGTAGGCCGAAGATGGATGCCCCAACGGTACAGAGAAACTTTGGGTGACTGTCAAGCCAGCGAGATGTCTCTGTCATTTCTAGAGTTTGAAAGGTGCTTATTTCCAGCTAAGCAGTCCCTCAGGGAAGCTTGTTGTGGAGATTTGCTTGTGGAGGTTGGCCTCAGAGTTAATCCAATCTTCCATCCATTCAGAATACTGGTACTGACAAAGGGCCACAAACGGGATGTGTTAATGAAAGCAACCATGGGCGGAAGTAGGCGTGGTCTTCAGAGAGTATATAAGGACGCGCCAGAGCTTAGCCTGGTGCATTCTTCACCGGAGCAGATAGAGAGTGTTTCCATACATTCTGACTCTTCAACCGGTGGATCTATCTTCTACCTACATTGAGGATTGGACCCTAGAGCTGAGGAAATATTGTGGTGTTCTCATTCAGCACTGCTGAGGCCGGAGACAATTCCTTGGCAAAATGGAGTCAGGCTTCTTACAAGCCTTCACTGAAGAACTCAACTGCTCTATCTGCCTGAGCTACCTTACAGACCCAGTCACCATAAGCTGTGGCCACAGCTTCTGTCGAGCCTGCCTCCACCTTTCCTGGGAAGACGGTCTCTTCCCAGGCCAGTGTCCTTCATGTAGGGAGCGAACCAAGCAGAAGGAGGACTTCAGAACCAACATTGTTCTGAAGAAGCTGGTGTCCATCGCCAAACAAGCCAGCCTCATGAAGTACCTGATTTCGGAGGAGAATATGTGTGTGATCCACAGGGAGCCCAAGGGGATCTTCTGTATGGAGGCCAGGATCTGCCTCTGTCAGCTCTGCTCTGACTCCCTCATGCACAGAGGTCACAGACACTCTCCCATTGAAGCAGCTGCTGAGGGTGAACTGGAGAGACTTCTAAAACAAATGACATCTTTACAGGAGAAGATCCAAAAAATTAAAGAGAATCTAGAGGCAGAGTGCAGAATGAAACTTTTGTTTAGAAACTTCCTGGTTATGAGGGAAGACATGATCAGGACAGAGTATAGGAAATGGTGTGCAGTCCCACATGAGCAGGAAGATCAACATATTGTGCTCATGAAAAATGAAGGCGATTGTGTTTTAGAGAAACTCGGAGAAAGTGAAGCCATGATGATCCAAAAGAGAAAACAACTAAGCGAAATGTTTCAGGAACTCATGGCGATGTCCCAGGAGCCATATGTGATATTACTCCAGAGTTTGGATAATATATTGAGAAGGAGTGAGGCAGTGGAGCTGAGTATACCCCAAGCTATGAAACCAGAACTCTCTGCCCTCCCCATCACTGGACTGACTGAAAGTTTCAACCACTTCAAAGTGCACATTTCCTTTGAAAAACTACTTGAATTGCATTGTAAGAAGAACCTATTTAATGTCATGAGAAGAGCCAGCTTCGAACTTCACCATCAGTATACATCTGTGGATCCTGCTGGACACTATTTGGCCTCCTGGGGATCACGGAACTTCATCTCAGGGAAATATTACTGGGAACTGGATTTGAAGGACTCTAGTGACTGGGCTGTAGGAGTCTGTACCAATTCCTGGTTAATGAATAGAAACAAAGAAGTTGAAACTGAGGGTGCATTTCTTCTTTTCTGTATGAAGGAGGGTAGTCATTACAGTCTCCTCACTACAAACCCAGTAATCCATCACTATATAGAGAAGCCACTGGACAAGATTGGTGTGTTCCTTGATTGTGATTCTGGATATTTAAGTTTCCTGAATATTGCCAAGAGTTCCCTCATATACAGATATCCTCATAAGACTTTTAAGTACCGTGCCTGGCCTTTCTTCTCCTATGGTCAAATAATACCATAGGAAGTTGTAATAGAGTTTTCATTGTTTTTAAGTATTTCCTGTTGTAATGATATAAGTTTTATTGTATTACATATTAAAATGCTATTAAGTGAAAAAATGGTTAATTAGTACCATAAAAATAGAGAATCTGCAGTAGTCATTCCACCAAGATGGCCAACATTGTTAACTGATGTGTATGAAGCTCAAGCTTTTCTTCTAAGAGCAACCATTGCCTGAAGATAAATATAAACATTAAATTATCTGCATGTAACATTAAATGGTGAAGATTCAAAACCTCTTCCATATGAGCATGAAGGTGTTGCCCATCATGTGAACATCTGGATCATGAGCTGAGATTAGTTATGCAGTGAGAAATACTCAGATGTGAGTTTACCTATGACTGCTTGAGTGGACACACTCTGTCCGAAGACTTGTCTGTCTAAATGGGGCTGACACAGCCATTAGTGATTATTTCTGTGATTTTCACCATTTATTAACATCTAGCAGGAGTAATTCTCTTTGCAAGTAATGATAAATCACTCATGCTAGGTAGCACTCTTCTATTGTGGAAATTAGCAAACTTTCTATGTGTCTGAGGACAGGAGGGAATTTCTTAGGCAAAAGGGAAAGGGAGGCAAGATTCAAGAGAGTGTCAGATTTCTGAGCCAACAGAAATTTGATTCTCTCTATTCTTTCTTGATTCTTCTATATTTCTTCCCCAAAATGCGCCCCAACTATCATGACTTACTTACCATTCCATGATACTTTTTCCACTTGGAAGTATAAACCCAAAGTTATTTTATACTTTTTGTTCTTCAGTGAGCTTACTATTTATTAAGGAGTAAAACCAATGTGCTGTAAATCCTATAGACTAGAATAGAGTTAAACCATTGCTTGGAAATAAAAGTCATCACACTTTGAACATTTTCCAGTTATATTTAGGCTCATTTGTTGGTTGGCTTTACTTTTCACCTAACTGTGTGTTAGCCTGCCCCGTGATGTTCTGAAATTGTAAAGGTCTTTGTTCCTGAATAAATTTACAGATATGTTTTATGTGTGTGGACACACAAGGCCAATTACAGACAACTTATGCGTTTGCTCTCCATTTTGTATTTGAGATAATGTTTCTTATTAAAACTTGCTTCAGCCAGCTGAGATGTTGAGGTTCTGTTATTTTCACCTTTACAGCTCTGGTGTACAGTCTCACACTGCATGCCTGGCTTTTTATATGAGTGCTGGAAATTTGGCTCAGACCATCCTGCATGTGTGTCAAAGCATTTAAACACTGAGCCATTTACCGATCTTTTTTCATCTTATGTTTTATAGTTTTGTGACCAGCTTAAGAATTTTAAAAGTATAAATTTTGTGTTTCTTTTTTTAAATTAATTAATTAATAAATTTATTTATTTATTAAAAGCGTAAGATAAAACCGGACTCGCTGAACATAGCGGACAATGAGGACTACTGAGAACTCAAGAACAATGGCAATGGATTTTTGATCCTATTACACATACTGGCTTTGTGGGAGCCTAGGCAGTTTGGATGCTCACCTTACTAGACCTGGATGGAGGTGGGCGGTCCTTGGACTTCCCACAGGGCAGGGAACCCTGATTGCTCTTTTGGCTGATGAGGGAGGGGGAATTGAATGGGATAGGGGAACGAAATGGGACGCGGTGGCGGAGAAGAGACAGAAATCTTTAATAAATAAATAAATTAAAAAAATAAAAGTATACATTCGGGATATAAAAGAAGAAACTTGATATTAGGTTATTTTACGATTAACAAGGATTTGAAAGCCTCGTTGGTTAACTTCTCTTCACATGCTGATTCTGTCATAAAGGAAAAGCTTTGCTAATGTGACATTGGATTAGTGAAGAGACTGATAAAATAAGAATGATAAAGCTAGAACATGTAGTGCTTTATGATAATTCTAAAATATTGCCGCTAAGGAGGCTTGTTTAAAAATACCTCTGTACTTCTTCTGTTGAGAATTCAGAGATGGGCAAAGGACACTTAAGATCATGCTCAACCTCCTTAGCGATCAAGGAAATGCAAATCAAAACAACTTTGAGATATCATCTTACACCTGTCAGAATGGCTAAAATCAAAAACACCAATGATAGCCTTTGCTGGAGAGGCTGTGGAGGAAGGGGTACCCTCATCCATTGCTGGTGGGAATGCAAACTTGTGCAACCACTTTGGAAATCAGTGTTTAGGTTTCTAGGGAAATTCGGGATCAACCTATCCTGGACCCAGAAATACCACTTCTGGGAATATACCCAAGAAATGCCCTATCATATGACAACAGCATTTGTTCAACTATGTTCATAGCAGTATTATTTGTAATAGCCAGAACCTGGAAACAACCTAGATGCCCTTCAATGGAAGAATGGATGAAGAAAGTGTGGAATATATACACATTAGAGTACTATGCTGCGGTAAAAAACAATGACATCGTGAAATTTGCATGCAAATGGATGGAAACAGAAAACACTATACTGAGTGAGGTAACTCAGACCCAAAAAGATGAAAATGAGATGTACTCACTAATAATTGGTCTCTAGCCATAAATAAGGGTCACAGAATCTACAATTGGTGAACCTCAAGAAGCTAAGTAAGAGGTGAACCCAGGAAAAACATATAGTTATCCTCCTGGCCTGCGAAGTAGACAAAATTGTCGGGGAGAAAATTGGGATCTTGGGGGTGGGGTGGGATGGGGTAAGGGGAGATGGGGAGAGAAAAGGGAGAAGGGGAGGATGGGGCGAACTTGGGGGAAAAGGATGATTGGGATAAAGGAAGGTTGGATAGGGGAGCACGGAAGCACTATTCTTAGTTAAGGGAGCCACCTTAGTGTTGGCAAGAGACTTGAACCTAGAGTGGCTCCCAGGAGCCCAAGGCAATGTCCCCAGTTAGTTCCTTGGGCAGCTAAGGATAGGGAACCTGAAATGACCCTATCCTATAGCCATACTGATGAATATCTTGCATATCACCATAGAACCTTCATCTGGTGATGGATGGAGATAGAGACAGAGACCCACACTGGAGCAATGGACTGAGCTCCTAAGGTCCCAAAGAGGAGCAGAAGGAGGGAGAACATGAGCAAAGAATTCAGGACCACGAGGGCTGCACCCACCCACTAAGACAGTGGAGCTGATCTATTGGGAGCTCACCAAGGCCAGCTGGACTGTGACTGTAAAAGCATGGGATAAAACTGGACTCTCTGAACATGGTGAACAATAAGGACTGATGAGTACTGATAAGAGCACGGGGTTTTGATCCTACTTATTGTGCTGACATTGTGGGAGTCTAGCCAGTTTGGATGATCACCTTCCTAGATATGGACGGAGAGGTGAGGACCTTGGACTTACCACAGGGCAGGGAACCCTGACTGCTCTTTGGACTGGAGAGGGAGGAGGAGAGGAGTAGGGGGAGGGGGGGAAGGGTGGGAGGAGGGGGAGAAGGGCGGCAGAAGGGGGAGGGAAATGGGAGGCTGGGAGGAGGCAGAAACTTGTTTTTTTTTTTTTCTTTTCTCAAAAAAAAAAATCCAAAAAAAAATATCTCTGTAGCAATGATTTGACACATGGCTAATTTCCCTTTGATCTGCAACAGCAAACTTAAACAGAAGTGAATAGTGACGGCATAGAGGGAACCTCAACAGTTATTCGAACAAATATTGCTCGGTTGTTTTAAGGAAAAAAGTCGGAAATATTTATATTCTTTAGAAAGATAGATGCAGTTTTAAAATAATTAGTTGTCCAGTTAGTACACCGTATCTGGCCTATTTGCCAGTACCCTTGGAGATGCATTACCTTGCCCTTAAATATGAATTAATTTTGAAATCTGTATTTATTTATTTATTTTTTGACAGAGACACTGTCAACCTTGATGCCAAAAATGCCCAAAAATGTCCCCTTTACCATATTCAGGGGCAGCTTATATAGGGATAGCGACACCCCAGCCAAATGTACCAGAAACCATTCCCCTGCCATCAGGAACTCCTGAGGGTCTCATGCTCAGAGCAGCTGTAGGCACTCAGATCAGGGGAAAACAAGTTGTTTACAAAAAAATCAAGGTCTTGGGGTTCACAGCTCCCAAAATTGTACTTTGCTCATTCTGGTGGCTACACTTTGCTCCTAGATAATGACTTGGTGAAAAGTCTGTATTTAAAACCTGGCATTGATGCTATCATCTGGTAGATGCAGCCTATCCAGGCAAAAATTTCATGCGTAGAGGTGTTACATATAAGTCTCTAATTTATAGTTTAGAAAGTACTTTTGTATTTTATATAATATTTCACTCTAACTTTGTAAAACAAAGCTTAGTATTACCATGTAAACTTAGGAAAGTAATAGAAGGAAAATCACAACCCAAGTAGTCCAACAATGCCCACAATAACGCAGACATATAATGACAGTTCACCAGCCCAACTCAAAGAAGGGAAACACACAAACTCTACTACCAAAAAAAAAAAAAAGAAAAGAAAAAAATGACCAGAGATAACAACCACTGATCATTAATATCACTTAATATCAATGGACTCAACTCACCTGTAAAGAGGCACAGGCTAAGAGATTGGATACGAAAACAGGATCCAACATTCTGTTGTTTACAAGAAACACACCTCAACCACAAAGACATACATCTACTCAGAGTAAAGGGCTGGGAAAAGGTTTATCAAGCAAATGGACCTAAGAAACAAGCAGGGGTGGCCATACTAATTTCTAACAAAGTTGACGTCAAATTAAAATCAATCAGAAGTGATGGAGAGGGACATTTTTTACCCATAACAGGAACAATTCATCAGGACAAAGTCTCAATCCTGAATATCTATGCCCCTAATATAAAAGCACCCACTTATGTAAAAGAAACAATACTAAAACTCAAGACAGTCATCAAACCACACCCACACTAATAATAGGAGATTTCAACAGTCCTCTCTCACCAATGGACAGGTCAAGCAGACAGAAACCTAACAGAGAAATAAGAGGATTAAGGGAGGTAATGAATCAAAAGGACTTAAC